GTCACGGTAGCCGAGCGGTCTAAGGCATGCACTGTCTTCGCTCGCTTGGAAACCGGGATCGTGGGTTCGGATCTGTTTCTTGTGAGGTACGAACTTAGTCCTTATATATTATTCTTATACATTGCCGGGCACGGTAGCCGAGAGGTCTAAGGCATGTACTGTCTTCGCTCGCTTGGAAACCGGGATCGTGGGTTCGAATCCCACTCATGGCTTGGATGTTTAGTTTGTGTGTGTGCGTTTTTCTGTGTTTGTGTACAGGTAGAGGCCTTGCGACGAGCTGATCACCCGCCCAAGGAGTCCTACCGAATGTGTAAGATCTAGAAAAACCGAAGTGAACGGAGTTCATGGAGGTAGGCCTAGGCCCAATGGGGCTGTAGTGTCAAGGAAAAAAAATCTTTCTCTAAGTTGTATGATTTTCATTTAATTAAAGGAGAGAAATGCACTATATAATTACGCTGTGCATATACTCGTGTTTCCTAGCTTGAGGAATTCCATCTTCTGGGATATAATAGTGTGTAGTCTGTTGAAACTCAATCGACGTTTAGGAGGAAGCAGACAGCAAGCAGCTGCGTATATCTCTTTCATTCCTGTTTTCTTGCTTACCTGATTTTTCCAGCCGAAAGTTGGAAGAGACGCATTTCCCCGAAACGTCGGTTGACTTTCAACAGACGACACGGTGTTATATCCAAGATGACAGAACTTCTCATAACTACAGATGTGAAAACCTAAAGTCCTACATTTCCTAAATTCATCACATTTATACGCTGCGTGCTATGAACATGAGAGTTTTTGCAGTTGTCCCAAGAATTTTTAAATAAGTAAAGTTCTAACGTTTATACCGAAATATGTTTTTTTGGGATTTTGCCTTTCGCATGCTGTTCGTTTTCCGCCCCTACCAATGTACTCTTATAAGTTACTTCACATGACTCATAATTTGTCTCCCCCTTGTGAATATTGTTAAATGTATCAGGTACAGAAATATTTATATACAGAACTTTGAATGGTAGTTGAATAAATATTTCGTGTTACGTATTAACCATTTGTACAGTAAACAGTTCTGTAGAAAAAATAATTTCTACTCAAGCTTAGTGTAATATATCGATTACATTGGGCACATAAGGAAAAAAATGAAATTCTCTCTACAATTTTACTACAAACCTGCAAAGCCTATTTAGTTCAATTTACGTTGAATATTTATGAAGACGTAACATAATGGTTTTGCTGAGTTCGTCGAAATAAATGACAGTGTAATTCCTCCTTTGCATACCAAAACCCTCTTTTTCTAAATCTTACCAAACTTCAGAAGCCCAGACAGTCATTAACTAAAAATGTGAGATATTCAACATTGCTACTGATCAGACTTCATTTTAAAAATTACCTTAACTGCTTTGATATATTTTGTAGAAACCTTGGTCACAAGAAAAAAATAATAAAATTCAGTTGTGATTTATTTACGTGAAAATTTAACAGCCCAAAAGCCAAATACAAAGTGAATACAAGTAAAGAAAACAAACAAAACAGGGACATTCAAAATAAAAAACCACTCAGCTTTTATTTTTGCGTAATTATAACAATAATAATCCCATTAACGCAAAGTAATCTTTGAGATATGATAAAATTAAAATATACGCAATTACAATGACAACATTAGCGTTTTAGTGACTGAAAGAACCACGGTTAGTATAAATTGAGAGAAAAAAAAATATATATTAAATATATATTGTCGCGTATCGGGCGTATATCGCGACAAATAACTTCACGGTACATTTGGTATAGCGAATTTTATTTCACATTCGCACTTAGTCACCCAAATTACAGATTCACGATTACTGCTATCTGCAGTATCACAATTAGTACACTCCAAATGCCACAATACAACTGACTAGTTGCTGGCTAACTCGGAACTAACTCGGAGGTAGCTCGAGGACTGACTCGTAGGTAGCTCCAGGACTCACTGACTGACTCAGTACAACTAACTGGGAATAGCCTTCGCTGCTCCTTATGTAGCCTTGATCGGACAATACGGAAAACGGCCACGTAATAAGCACCCTTGTTGCCTGGCGCTGTGTTGCTAGTAACGCTAGCGGTAGTAACCGCTGTTACTACCGTAACAATCCTGTTGCGTCACCGTTACGTTACCGTGCGGAGGAGGGGGAGGGGAGCGCTGACTTACCCGCCGCGTCACTGCCGGTGGGGGGGTTCTCCTTTGCGCAACATGTCACAATATATTATTATTTTTATTATTATTATGGTTGGTTGAGGCACTATGTTAAAAGCCAAAAGGTCGCGGGATCCAATCCCGATGAGGTCGATTTTTTCAGTTGACTTAATCCTTCCAGCCGCACTATGATCCTTGGGTCGACTCAGCCTCTGGGAAACGATTACCAGGAATACCCTTGGAATATTAGTGGGGGTAAAGGGCGGCCGGCGCGTAAGGCTGACAACCTTGCCGCCACCTATGAGCCTATTGTCTAGAAAATGTGGGAACCTCAACATCTCACAACCCTATGGGCTTCCATGGTCTGTTATAGGGATACTTTTACTTACTTACTTTATTATTATAGTTTTTCGAATTTCTCATCTATAAGCGCACACACAATGTTCCTTTGATTTCAATCAAACTAAACTTGGCAACAGGTGTTCATGCCACCAGAATTTAAATTCAGATAGTGACGTTCAGCATCTCGTCATGTTCCCCCGATCCAGTTCTCCACAGTTGTCAAACTCCAAACTTCCCCCTATCGATTTCTGCCCATATGACTGCGTGCCAAGGACAAGGGGAACGCGCGGATGATCTGATAGGCCAGTGAGGTTGATGAAGTGATGAACCTCACTTTGATATACTTGTCAGAAGAGAATATTACGTCCGTGGTTGCATCTGGCTAACGTACGAAGGAGTGAGAAGTAAGGGCGAAATGCAATACAGTGGTTTGAAAACGAGAAGGAATTCGTAGAATAATTATAGTTCAGTAAATTAATAATTTTTAATAATTGTTGAATTTACCTTCAATTAATTTTACTGAAGCTTTCAATGATAAACTAAATTCCCGGGACAGCTTTACATACGATTAACAATTTTGCGACTTTTAAACTTGCCTTGACAAGCTCATTCGCTCATTTAGAAAATAAGAGTTGATAATTTGATAATTCTCTTGGTACGGAACAGGCGGGTTCGAGTTCCGATGAAGTCATTGGATTCTTCAATTGACCTAATATTTTCAGCTGCACTATGACCCTGGGGTCGACTCAGTCGACAGAAATGAGTACCATGAATCTTTCTTGGGTGTAAAGAGCAGCTGGCGCGTAAGACTGACAACCTCACCGCCATCTGTGAGCCGATTGTTTAGATAAAATGTGGGAGCCTCGATGTCTCACAACCGTATGGACCTCCACGTCTTGCTACAGGGATAGCTTTATCTCATCTTATTGGTAGCATGAGCTCCTTTAGATCTTCTATAAAACTTACGAAAGGAACACTTATATAGGAGCCAATGGGCAATCCTCCTTTATTAGCAGATTACAAGTGACGTAATGATGAGATTACGTTAAGGTTTATCAGTATTAGCCGAAAAGTTCTCTTTGATTTGATATCAGTCGTGTGTTATATGGTGTGAGCTTTACAATTGTGTACTGGAAATATAAACTTACTTACAGTCATTACAATAAGTTTTATATTCTTTAAATATGCATTGGTATCATTAATATGTATCTAAAAACACCCCATTTCTTAAGTTATCTGCTCTTATTCACCCTTATACTTTGCGTACTGCAAACGTGCCTTCCTATATTTGTTATAGATTTTTTTTTGTAGTTAACACATTAACATAAGAAGGAATGTTCCGATTTTCTGTGTTTTCTCTTAAAATAAGCTATACTGAAGTAATTACTTTTATTTTTCTTATAATTACTATTCGAGATTCTCAAAGCAGTTAACTTTTAAATACTACCACTTTCTGGGGGATTATTTTCCCCTTGGCACTACAGCCCCAGTGGGCATAGGCCTACCTCCATGAACTTCTCCGTTCACTTCGGTTTTTCTAGATCTTACACATTCAGTAGGACTCCTTCGGCGGGTGATCAGCCCGTCGCAAGGCCTATATCTGTACACAACCACAGAAAAACGCAAACACACAAACTAACCATTCATGCCCTGAGTGGGATTCGAACCCACGATCCCGGTTTTCAAGAGAGCAAAGACAGTACATGCCTTAGACCGCTCGGCTACCGTGACCGACCTTTCTGGGGTTTTACGCCGTATAATTTTGTATATAAGTACAAAACCTTCGTACTCTTCTTCTACCTAGAGAATGGAGGCAGCAGGTTCCTCCGAAACATGTTAACTCTTCCAAATTACATGCCGTCAAACACAGGATACCACGATTTTCATCGGGGATACCTCAGTCAGTATAATGACTATTCTATGGGTTGGTCGACGGATGAATCGAGATTCGATTTCGGGCAGTCTTAAGACTGTTCTCATCTCCGCGTCGTCCAGACCGGCTCTGGGACCCATCCAGCTCCCTCTTAAACGGGTTCCTGGGGCTCTTTCACCGGGGATAAACGGCCAGGTCGTGAAAATGGCCACTAACAATCTATTGCTGTGGTTAATTTTGATGGAAATATAACTCCACTCCGCCATATATCTTCGTGAAGTAGTGCTTGTGCCGTGCCATAGCTCAAGAGGTTAGTCGCTGGCTTCCCACCGCAGCTGCCACGGTTCAATCCCAGGTGTTGTCAAGTGGGATTTCTCTCCGAGTACTTCGGTTTCCCCTGCCAATCTTCATTCCACAAACTGCTCCACAGTCACCCTCACCTATCATCTGGGGCTGGTACAATAGACCAGAAGTGGCCGCAGTGCATGGGACTTAGTCCCACCCCACTAGCAATAAAAAAGAAGTGCTTAATTAATTATGCAGAGGGTAAATTTATCTTTTATTAGTTATGTAACAGTGAATTTTGATCTTAAGTGAAGATGTTACTAAGATGTTTCTCTTTCTTAGATCCGGACTGGACCACAGGTTTGCTCTGACGAATCAGGCTTTGAGCAACATGAGCACCTGGCCACAAGTCCATGTTCCAGAAACCGAAAAAAGCACCGTTCTGTTGGGCAACAAAACCACTTTCTTGAACCGCCTCAATGACTTTAGGTGAGTTTATGCTAGTAATATTTCAAGAACTTGCTTACCCTGATACATGTGTAATGTTTTTATAATAATGAATGGAATAATGCCATTACATTGGATCTTATTTGCATATGTAGAGGAATATATTGCACATTTAACAGGCGCATTCGGCAAAAGCAACTATAAATAAACTGCTAATATCATGTTGAAATACTTACAATGGAGAATTAATATATTTTAAGTATTTATCCAGATAAACGCGAAAAATATTTGAACTCTTATGTAAAAGCTATACTTCAATTAAATAAATATTTATATTGTGACATGAGGTCTGAAAGCCTGAAGTAGGCATCCAAAAAAGCACAACATAGACGTCTGTTGCTAGACAACGGCTCGGTACTTAACAAGGAGCAGTGTATACATCAGCGCCTAGGCGGAAATTGTAAACACGTTCACTCGACAACTCGTATATAAACAGACTGTGAGCACGGATATGAAAGACATGACTCTTCAAAGAGGTGGTTCCTAACCCAACCGCCTAGCGGGAATAAAAGTCCAGTTAAGAAGACATCAGTTCACGCCCGTGTGAAGGCAGGTTCGAATACCTCCACCGTGAACCTGCGAGTCGTAGGAGGCGACGAAAAGAGAAGTCTCAAATTTGAGACAGTAAAATATGGTCTCGAGTACCAAGCGCCTCGGACCCGAGAAAGACTGCGCTGGCAAGGACCAGCAGCATATACAAGAGACAGACCTGGCCTCTCGTCAGAGAGGGCACCCACAAGAACAAGACCGCAACTGTCAAACAATAATAAAGGTCTGGTCGCAAGCCCCAGATGGGTGCTTTGTGCCAAGACAGACTGGCCGACTGACCGTCGGTCGTAAAACGAGACTCAGGCTCAGCCATCAGTTCAGAAGAAGTTCAGAAGAAGTTCAGAAGAAGTTCAGAAGAACAGGATACGACAACGCGGAAGAAGAAGAAATAGCTCGGCAGTGAATCAGCGTGCTTTGAGAATGAATCGGTGTTAGTGGAAACGGGTTCGTTATCCAGGAGGATAACTGGTGCATTGTACGTCTGATGACTGGCGAAAGGGTTGAAACATATTGCGTCTCAAATAAACATAATAAAAGCAAATGCTGATGCAGTAGTGTCTTCCTTGATTTGAATACTGATTATTGTTGTGCAGACGGTATATCCTATCCAGAATGAGTTACATATGTGAACTGTTACAACCGAGATTAACTGTGTGAATGACGTCAAATAAACCGAATCATTAAATCTAGAATCCACAATTATTAGTCACACGCACCACCCTATACGTGACAATATATTCTATGTACACATATACATTCAGGTAGAACGAAGCTTCGTGTAATTATTGTCGACAAGGAGAGTCTTGCAGTCTTCATATGTGTTTGGGGGACCATTGTGTATTGTTCGGTTATCTCGTGTGTGTTCTGAAGACGTTTACTGATTCTTGAAATATCAAGTTAGGAAAGGTAAGCAGAGAACAACATTTCTACTTTAACTGTCTCGAAAACCATTACAGTCCAATAAATTATGTTGGATACGCTATGTGAGGCGCAATATTCTTTGCAATGTTTGCTCGAAACAGTTTCTGCTTCGATAAATATTTCGGCTCAGAGAAAGAAATGTGCTGAAACGCATATACAGTCGTTATATAGTTTCGTTAGACAATAACCACAATTTGTATGTTTCGATAAGTTTTAGTAAAACTCTCTAATATCAAATTTTATGAAGAATAGTAGCGGTTTGTGACAAGTCTCATACGAACAGGCTGACAGCGGAAGGAGCGCTCCGCGTGGTTATGAACGCAACTAAAATGTTGAACACTTATGAATTTTTTTTATTGTTACTTAAATAGCAATCAGAATTATCATATTCTATAAGCTATTATGGTGACATTGGGTTACTGAGCCCGCCTATGGTCTTCTGAAATGAATCAGGAAAGGACATAACGACGTACTTTTTTTGAGCATGGTAACGAATTTCTATATCCACTAAATAACCATTCACATTTCAAGGCCTAATATGATCTTTGAGATTACTGCTATATTTAAATAAATCAGTAAAGAACATTAAATAGACATAAATATACACAAGTTGTATCATCGATTCTTTAATTGGCGGTTTTGATTTAACTGGAGAGGTTGCAGACTGGTGAACGAAACGCGCAAGAATGAAGTGGGCTGTGTAAAGTAGAGAGTTTTAATCCGGAGGGACTGAAGAAGTACACGAAGCGTATCAGCATTGTTGGTTTTTAGCCGACCCCACCCTGTTAAAAGTCAAAGCCATTATTGTTGTGCTAACCTTTTAATAGAATTGGGCTTGTTAGAAAACAGTAAAACTGCTATGGAATTATATCGACAGATAAAGCACGGTTTGACGTAACAGTACTGACAGCCTTTCCTAGCAACTTATCACAATATTGCACGCAGTGTCATTTTGTTTCCGCTATATTTCCACAGTCAAACATCCGACGACTGGAGAGGGAGGAATTGAGGTTATGCTTGTCACTCGGCTTGATGAATCACATTTTAGTAATTACATTTCCTGCTTCGTCGTCATCAGAAGGAGTTTCCGGGTTTTGTCGAGTAGTTGAAATGAATACAAGGGAACTGCAGCGATGGGTATCATATTCTATGTGCTGAAATGGTAGTGCTTTTTATTTAGTACAGCTGTTTTCGTGACAGGTCTTGTCGCGTTTGTCAGCAATATATCTTAGTGAAATTCTGGGAAATTTGTGTAATTATGTAAGAGATGTTGCACTGCATATGTAGCCACTAAATTCTCCAGATATGAATGAAATTTTATTTGATATGCCTTGCCAATTACGAAATATTAATGAACATTAATTTAAGGTAAATTCATTTAATAAAAGGAAACAATATTAGAACTAAGAGGTAGGAATTTTCATGAGACTGCAGAAAATTGCATAACGAAAAACTTCATAAATTTTATTTCTAACTGCAAATCAAGGAGCATTAAACAAGTGACTTCTATCATGGAGACAATAGGTTCAAATCTCGGCAGAGATAATGGCTACACTTACTTTGATTTTTCGTGATTTTCTTTAGTTCCACCAGGAATCGAGACAGTAGCTCTGGTAATTCGAGATTGCTTCGTTCCGAAATGCCCTTCTTCTGTTATGCATCCAGCTGGCTTTGTACAGTCTAGCTACTGAAATTGTCGTTAATTAACCCGTAAACAAAGTAATATAAGAAAGAGTGGGTGAAGGTGGGAGAGATGACGAATTTGTTAAAATTTTTAGTCACCAGCCTGGAGGGGAGAAGGCACTAAAAATATAGGCATAGATGGCATTATCATATTGAAATGGAACGTAGAGATGTAGATGTAGTGCTCAGACTGGATTAATCTGGCTCAGGATGGTGGTCAATGGTGGGATCTTGCGAAAATGTATTGAAAGTTCCCGTTCCTTGAAAGAAAATTTCTTGACCATCTTCACAAGAAGAATTGTTCCATTGCGATTGAGATTTCAGTTTGTTAGTAAATTCTTTGGTTGGTTAGTTTAGGTATACAGCAACTGAAGAGAGAACATAGTTCAGTGTTGCAGTTACTGAAGACGAGAACACATGCGTACTGTGAGACAAACCTGTTTTCCTCACAAATTGCGTATGGGGTGTTCATGATTATTTTGTCTGCGCCGCGTCAGTGTTTTTTACCTTGAGTCTCCGCGTCAGGATGACCTCTAGCGTGTAGGAGGTATATGCCACTGGTATGTCACTCACTCATGGAGCTTGAGCCCTTCTTGAGAAGCTGTCAATTATGCGGTTACTCAAGAACTTCCCAGCATTTTATGGAACCCGAAGGTTGGTTACCCTCTTCAAAAGAACCATCCAATTGTCGCCCATCCTAAGCTAGATCAACCCAACCCATATCATCCCATTCTATCTCTCTGAGATCAATTTTAATATTGTCCACCCACCTATGTCTTGGTCTTCCCAGTGGTCTCTATCCATCTGACTTTTCGACCAATATCCTCTATGCTTTCCTCAACTCCCTCATTCGTGCTACATGCTGTGCCCATCTCATCGTCCTTGACTTGATCATTCTAACTATACTTGGAGAAGAGTACACGTTATGAAGCTCCTCAATACGCAGTTTTCTCCAGTCCCCTGTCACTTCATTTCTCTTCGGTCCAGATATTCTTCTCAACATCCTGTTCTCAAACAACCTCAGTCTATATTCCTCCCTTAATGTCAGAGACCAAGTTTCACACCCATACAGAACCACAAGAAAAATTATAATTTTGTATTCATTCATCTGAAATCTGTCAAGACGACAGGTCCACAGTCTCTTCCAAAACAGTTCCTCTACTTGATGTGATCTAGAGCTTTCTCCTTCAAATGAAAATATCCTCTTCTGTCCCCAAGGTCATCAAGCATCTTCTTACGTCTTCTTCCTCGTCTTCTGGTCACTTCTATCCGGCCCTCCATCTTTCCTTCAGTAACTTCTTTTAGAAGGCAGTTACCGCGTAAGATATGACCAATCCAATTAGCCTTCCATTTTCTTATTTCGTATAGGATATTCCTCTGCTCACTGACTCTTAACACTTCTTCATTTCTCACATAATCAGTCCAACCGATCTTCTCCATCCTTCTCCAACACCACATTTCGAAGCTTTCCAGGTGTTAACTGTGCCACATTTTCAAAACATCCGTTACCTATCTTTATGTCACGATTTTGCCCATTTTGGTGACGAGATATCAACGTATACTTAGTTTTCTCTGTGTGTACTTCCAGACTAACCTCCTTAGTAGCATCAGTTAATGATTGTGTCTCTCCTTATGGTATCTATATTAATTCCTATTAGATTTACATCATCAGCATACATTGGCACCAAGTATGTTACTCAAAATATTGCTGTATAATTATTACACCAAATAATAAGTCTCCTTCGTAGAATTTTGTGCTTACTTTCAATTGTTCGGGTCAAGAGCTATGGATGTGCTGAAGTTTTAACTAACTTTTTAACTCCGTGGTT